AAGTAAGGTAGAGGTGCCTCCTTGTGGTAGTAGAAATATGTGTGTGTTGGCGGGGGCAGGGGGACACAGGAACAGGTGGAGGCTGCATTGCTGTTGAGCAGGGTGAACACTCCTAATTGGTGGTTTGGGTCTTTTCTGTAAAGAAGGGGGCAGGAGGGCTGTTTTGAGGTGGGGTATGCTCCTAGGTCTTGAGACAGGTGGAGGTGGAAGGTGTGTACAGAGAGGAGAGGCGAGGTGTATAGGGATGCTGAAGGAACCCTGGAAGCCTGGCTTGGGTTGGTATCATGGATTTAAGTGGAATCACCGGATTACTGGTGTCTCTCCACCAGGGTTGGCTCAAGATGGCCAGGAGGTGAGGGACATGGGTGTTTAGAGTGTTGCTAAGACTTCACTGACACCATGGACCTTGAGCTTTAAGGAGGCTTGGGATGGAAGGAGATGTCGTATATATATGGAGGGGAGCAGAAAGCTCAAGTACTAAAGTTTCCGAAAACTCAGAACTTTCTGAGGGAGCTGTTGAGCCAGCATGCAGCGAGAGGCGGTTGGAGTGTTTTGTGGGGAGACTTGGATTAGAATTAGTGATGGTACACGTATTAAAAGAATGAATGACTGGTATGTCCGTCCCTGGGAACTCTGGAACCCTGGCGGGGGTGGGGTGGGGTGGGGACGACCCTTAATGAAGACGACTCGGGTGAAATGACCGAAAATGGCCACAAGGTGGTAGCATCTACCTGCAAACGTCTGCAGGAAGTGCTTGCTGCCTGGCAGGCTGACTCCAGGAGGGGTGGGGTTAAAACCACCTGAGCTGGGCTGGTGGCGGCTTACTCCTGCAATGCCCGCACTTAAGAGACCTAGGCAGGAGAATGGACTACATAGCAAGACCTTATCTTTTTTTTGTTTTGTTTTGTTTTGTTTTGTTTTTTTGAAACAGGGTCTCCCTGTAGTCCCAGCTGTCCTGGAACTCACTATGAAGACCAGGCTGGCCTCGAATTCACAGAGATCCGCCTGCCTCTGCCTCCCAAGTGCTGGGATTAAAGGCGTGCGCCACCACGCCCGGCAAGCTCCTATCTTTTTAAAAAATTAAAAATAGTCCGGATTGGAGTGGTGGCTCAGTGGTTAAGAGCACTGTTGGTTCTTGCAAAGGACCTAGGTGCAGTTCTCAGCCTTGATAGTTCACAATCACCTGTAACTCCAGTTCCAGGAGATCCAATGTCCTCTTCTGGCCTCCTCAGGCATTGCATGCATGCTGTGTACTTACATACCTGCAGGTAAAACACTCATACGTAAAATAAAAATAAAATTATTTTTAAAAAAGCAAAATTGTTTTAAATTCCAGGTGTAATTGTTAGTTTTCATTGTCGGCTTGACAAATGTTAGAATCACCTGGCAGATGGGCCTCTGGCCAGTCTGTGGGGATTGTCTTGATTACATTCATTGAAGTGGGTAAACCTGACCACTGTGAGTGGTACCAGTCCCTAGCAGGGGAATTCTGGACTGTGTAAAGATGGAGAAAGCGAGCTAAGTGCAAGCATGCATGCATCTGTTGCTTTCTTCTGGCTGTGGATGCAATGAGCACAAACAAACCCTTCCTCCCTTAAGTTGATTTTGTCAGAGTATTTTAATCACAGTAACAGGAAGATAACTTAAGACACCAGGTAAGGGCAGAAGAGGGGAACTTGCAGACCTCTAGTCTAGGAAGATGGGGGCCCAAATACTTTTTTGGGCTGGCTCAGTTTGAACCTTTCCTTTTCTACTTGCTAGCCAAGGAACTGTCAGCAAGGTACAGGCCTTTGGTGTGCTCCAGTCTCATAAGAAAATGGTGCTGGCGACAGTCCCAGACTCCTGGGGTTGTGAAGGTAGATTTAATGAGGTTGTTTATTAGTGCATGGAGTGGGCAGACTCAGAGCTGGGCTTAGTGTTCAGGGGACTCAGAAAACACTTCTTCAAGTATGGTATTCTTCAAGTATACTGTGTGCTGGGGACTCTAGTCTCATCCTGTGTCTCCCTTCCCATGTCATAGGAACCATACCTCTTTCTCCCCAAAAGTCAGTTGGAAACCTACAACAGCCACAGGAAGACCCACACCCCAGAGGGTTCCCACCCCATCCCCCTGCTCTGAGGCTGCTCTGAGGTAGCCTCACAGCCCTGCCAGTCAGCATGAGTACAGAGCCTTTGCATCCAGTCACATTTCTACCCAGTTGTTCAAGCTCCACTGAACCCAGTCATAGCAGTGGATGGCTCATCCTGTTTCACCCTAGGCCTTCAGGTCTGAGACTGAAGACTTTCATGTCACTTTAGACTTTGGTTAATACATCTGTCTCATTGTCCCCAGGTTGAACTGTCTTTGTTACGGGTATGTCTACGTGGCCTCTGTGATGGGGAGAGGCAGGAATTTCACCCTCCCCTACAACATCCTCAGGATCACTTTCCATCACAGAAATCAATACTATTTCACAGACACCTGCTCTGCTCCCCATAGAAGCCTGCAGACTTGGAATCCTCAGACCCTTTACAGTGGAGGAAATAGGTTCAGCCTCTTAGGGATACATTAATAGCACCCAGGCCCAGGGCCATCTAGTTACAGGGCCCAGTTCTGTCCACCAGGCCAGGGGACCTCCTCTAGCTCTAGCTTTTCCTGGCCAGCCCTTGGGATCACATCCTCCCTGGGAGAAGTCTTTTGGTCCTTGCCAGATGGCTCTGCCCATCATCCATGGTCTTTCGGGTCAAATAAATGGTGTGAATGGTGTGTGTGTTGGGAGTGTGTGGCTGAGGGTGGGTGTCTTGGTTTGATTCTTCATTGCTGTGACAAAACACTCTGACCAGTACCAACTTGGGGAGGAAAGGGTTTATTTGTCTTACATCTCCCAGGTCGCACGCAGTTCATCAGGGAGCCCAAGGTAGGAACTCAGGGCAGGAACTTGGAGGCAGGAGTTGGAGCACAGACCATGGAGGAACGCTGCTTACAGGCTTGCTCCCTTGGCCCCTGCTCAGCCTGCTTCCTTATGCAACACAGGCCCACCTGCCCAGGGGTGGCACCACCCACAGTGGGCTGGGCCCTCCCACATCACTCATCAAGAAGATGCCCTTCAGACATGGCCACAGGCCAGTCCAATAGAGGCAATTTCCCAATTGAGGCTCCCTCAACCCAGGTGTGTCAAGTTGACACTAAAGCTATCCAACACAGTGGGAGTTAATAAACACTAACCTAGTGGAAAGTGCTTGGGGTGTCTGGCAATATCCCCCCTTCTTCCTTCTTGGCTCTCTTCTCTGTTCTCTTCCTCTTCTCCTTCCTCTCCTCCTCCTCTTTCCTCTTCTGTAGAGCATAGCTATCTACCAGGTGTGCAGTACTTTGCAGTCTTTCCCTGGTCTGACAATGCTTGCCACTAGGTGGTGACTATCATCCTCTCCATTCAGCTGTAAAGTATCCCAGGTACCCCAGCTTCATCCCAGAGATGGAATTCAGACCCTCAAGGAAAGCATGGTCACTCCATGCTTAGGCACTGTGGAGCCAGAGCAGGCTACCCCCAGCTAGGACTGTAGAGACCAGAACAGGCCACTCCAAAAGACGCCCCTTTGGCAAAAAGTCTATTTTGAGAAACCCAGACACAGCAAGAGTAGCCACCCTTTGATAAGGGGACTTTACACCTGTAAAGAAGACCAATGCATGAAAAGGTGGTCATCTCCACACCAGGAACACAGGGAGGACTGCACAAGCCACTTTCCTGTTGGCTGGGCTTTCCTGATCACCCAGCAGCATTGCCCCACTGTGTGCCCTCCAGGGGATGGGATGGAGCCCAGGGTCTGCAGCATGCTAGCAAGTGCTTTCCCACCAAACCATATCCTGGCCTCCTCCTTCTTTCTCTTTTATTTGAAGATGGTATTTAAGACTGAACTCAAGGGCACGGCTTCTCTGAACTTTGCATGTGTATGACATATTATTAAGAACCATCTAGGAACTATGAAGAACAGAAGGAGGTTTCTTGTTTCTCCCCTCACACCTATGAAGAAGGGGCCTGTGTAGCCAACCCAGAATAAGCTCAGCCACCAGCAGGTCCCCAGCCAGTCCCTGGGACTGGTCCACACCAGTCTTGCTTATGTCCGCCCCTTCCATAGTTTCAGCCCTGAACAGCTGCTGCCAGAGGTGCCTTGTCAACCCCAGTTCTATCTCTATGTCCCCTCCTACC